CTGATTATCAGAAGTGTGAGATGCTCAAGAATATACTCCGGTGTCCTGTTATATTTTAGATAGTAAGTAGCAGACGGCTGAGTTTATTAAACTCCACCGAAACAATCTGCAAATTTAATTAAAATTTAATAAATTATCATCTTGTCTTTATTTTTAGTTAGTACATACCTTAAACACTTGGTGACTAGTCAACTATCAAAATAATCGTTTGTGGCAGCCCTACTCCATAATTAACCTTAGCATGAAGAGGACTCCTCATTTACATGAATAAACTGGAGTCTATTAGATAGATATGATTCAAAGCACTGCAGCACAATGCCTTTGATACCTACAGCATGCTCTTATTTCTTTAATAAAATATTGTGGTCAACAGTGTTGATTGCTGTTTCTTTACTGTGATTAATTCTGTATACTGACTAAACTCTTCAAAAAAAAAACATTGCTTGAGATAAAAGGAAGGTTGAAGATTGGTTTATAATTAGCTAATCTAGCTGGGTCAAGTGACAGATTTTTAAATTTAATGGTTTAGTTACTGCCAACATAAAGGCCTGTGGTAGGCAGCCCATTAACAGAGATATATTATTCACATTTAAGATTGAAACACTAATTAATGGTAGGAATAGTAGGAATGAGGGTTTAATAGACATGTTGATGGTTTGGAAGCAATTATTGAAGTTAACTCAGAGAGATCAATTGTAGAGTTTAAGTAGTACCGAACCATAATAATGGTCTGTGTTTTGAGGATGACTATCTTTTTCTCTGATGATGACAATTTTATTTGTACAGAAATTTGTGAAATCATTAGTTAAAATTACGGGAATGCTTGTCTTAAAAGAGCTCTGACTCCCTGTTAACCCTGAATAAAAATTTTAAAAAGAGACCTGAGGTTGTTTTCTTTTTAAAGAGCAAGAAAATATTTTTCTCAGGCTAAATGAAGATTTGTGTTTGTGAGTCAAGCACTAGTGATTTGAGGGTTTCTCTTTTCAGAGCCACAATATCCAGGGTTGTACACAATGGGGATGTAATTAATGAGATAATCAGCCTCTGCATTGGTGTTGTGCATGCAATTGAAGACAACAGTGGAGAAATTACATCCTTGAATGCGGTAACAACACTTTCAGAAAGACATCTACTGTATTGACATTTATTCCAGACTGCTCTGTAATCTGTAAATTTAAAAGTTATTAAGAAGTGATCAGACAATAAAGGGTTCTCAGCAAATGCTGATAAGTAGTGTTCTGGTTCTATGTTCTATGTAAGATGTCAGAACATGTTCAGTATGGTTAAAGTGGTGTGTGGGCTCACTTACATTTTGAGAGAAGTCAATTGAGTCTAATAGTAGATTAATTCTAGTGTTGAGGCTGTCATTATCAGCATCTACATCAATGTTAAACTATAATTACTGAGCACTAACTCAAACAAAATGTTGAAGAATTCAGAACCAAGAGATACCAACAAACAAAACTGTTCTTTGTGTTTTCCAGTTTGGTGTAAAAGGCTGAAAGTTAAGGTTTAAAATTTTGTCTGGGTCTTTGGTTGATTAATAAATTGGCTGGCTTAAACAAGGATGTTTAAGAATTTGTGTTTAACTGTTTTACACTTTGGTACAGTCAAGGATGCTTTATTATTCTTACTTTGCGATTTTCTTTTATGCTTGAATCATTATTTGCCGCTTTTTTTGGTTTGCTTTTTTGGTAGTCTGGGAGCAGTCATAGTATTAATGGACATGTGGCTTTGGGGGGGATTAGAAACGTCTACTTTCACAAATTTACAGTTAAACAGTGTATTACCACAAAGACACTCCATGTAATTGCTAACTTAACCCCATTTATTCACCAACTGATATCAGACAGATGGTAGAATTATTCCATCTTTTTGCTGTTTTAACGCCATCTTGGCACATCAAAGACACTTTGAAGATGTGCAAGTGGTTGCTGACCTGATCCCCGTCTTCCAAGCAACCATTATAAAGTCCTATTGACTGCAAGTTAGCTTCACACAGTGACAATAATTTGGGTTGTGCCATGGTCTTGGCCACAGTTTTCCCTGTTGTGACTGTAGCATGAAGAATGAAAAGTGTGCCATTTGTATTGTGAAGTGCCATTCTATTAGTACTACAGGCTTAGAGTCTGAGAAAAATAAACATCTGTACACACCAGATTTCATCCTGGTACTGCTATCAGCGCTCCATCAATAAAAACTGAAGATCTGGTTCTGCTAGCAGCTGTACGTGCCTTAACATTGTCTCCACTATATTTTACAGATAATTTGTTACACATGGATAATTAGCCCTTCCTTTCATTTTCCATGCTTTTCTCTTCACATCATCCAAGTTAAACCTCGGTTTAAAATTCTTCTATCTCATTGATAAGTCCGTTTTATTTTTCAGCCTAATGATGGTCTTTTCACATCCAATGACACCTGTCTGATCTGCATTTTAAGAGTTCTCAGGAACAACTACCAAATGCAAATTCTACACTTAAACTTTCAAACTTTTATCCCCTAATTTGTCATAAGATAAAGGAAAACAGCTTATGTGATATTACTTTTGAGCATTTAAAAAGAGAGGGGATGTGTAAAAAATGTGTTTATTATTATTTTTAAACCCCTTTAATTAAATCCGAAATTCAATACTCAATTATACCTTGATTGCTTAATTTTCAATACAATGCGGTCATGTAGACAGGCAAAATTTAAAAACAAGTCTTATTGTCCAAATACTAGACTAGACCTAACTATATATTCGAAAATATATTCACACAGGATGGCCTTCAGGATCTTATTCTAATTGTTTTTATCTTGACAAATAAACTATTATGTTACAGTTTTAAAATGAAAGGAACCCCTCATTAAATACATGTCTGAAAAAACTTCTATTATTGTTTAGAAAAATACTTCGTACACTAAGTCTGGTGGCTTGCCATGTGTGTTTGTGCTCTAAGCCCAATTAGAGGTGGCATAAATTTAACAGGACTATTTTTCAGGAATTCTGCCATAGTTTGAGATCTCACTGATTAATTTGGTCTGTAAAATGTTTTTATAGCCAGCAAAAATAATGGCTACAACGATACGACTGAGGCCCTGATTGTAAAAAACAAAAATGTTTTAGGGGAGCAGACTTGGTGACTGAAGATGGACAATGACACAATTGTACAAAAAATATTTAACACGTTTAAGGTACTCAAAGCAGTTAGTATTGAATTTTTTTTTTTAAAGCTTCATACATTTTTAGTTTAGCTCTTTATTTGTGCTGGGTATTAAGAGCTGGTCCCAAATTCAGCAAATGGTTGGAAACCAAAGCACTGATATGCTCCCACACAAATACAGCTGCTCTTGGTTCTTAACTATCTAATTTATTTTCACTCTTTATTTAACCTTAAGTTATCTGGCACTTTTATAGCTCAGTGTAATAACACTTTATAGCAGGCTCCTTGAGATGTCGGTGTCTGTTTATGTTCTATATCTCTTCACAGTAACAGAAAGGTTCATGTGTAGTAATATAGCTAATGTACAGTAGTTTGTCAAAATGATATGGTCACACAAGAGGCAGCTGCACATTTGTACCTACAAGGTAGTAAAATTATTCGTTTATTTTGCTAGTTTAAAAAAGTTTTACAACAAAATTAAAACAGAACTTGAATTTAATTGTTATTCGATTACTTGTTATCTGAAGCATTTATCTGAAAAGTTGTATTAATATTGATTTACTGATTGATGATCATACATTTGCATGATGTATCTGCAATACATCAAAATTGGAATTATCAAGAATAATTTTTATACAATCGAAGCATTACCTAAAGCTTAGCTAGGGAATTATAATCTTGATACAAATGGAATATTTTAAAACTGTCATGCATAAATCAAAGTCAGTGGTTTCTGTGGGGGTAGAGACTTGGTTAAAAGCTGTACAGTCCCTGGGTGAATGGCGAGTTGCAATGAGGCCCAAAGTGGACCCAGTGTCATTAGAAAAATTTAAGAGTAGCAGATGTATTGTTCATCTGCTGTCATGATTCTTATTACTACCACAGACCCACCAGTTAATTAGCTGGACAGTTTTCAGACAGAAGCAGCTGTGGGCAACATATTGAGAAACGGGGTGCGAGGGAGCAGGCAGCTAGGAAGCGGTATACAGACATAAGAAAATTTGAGATGAGTGCGTGGGGAGGGGGGACGACTGAGAGCTTGAGCACCATCAAAGGTAATATAAACATAATTAACCCCCTAATTATAGTATATGTCTAAGTCTTTATCTGTGTTCCTCAAGCTATTATCATCTACAACCATAAGTCTGGACTAAATTACCTAGCACGATGACGTCCTTAAGGCTAAGAATGAATCAGCCTTGATAACTCTTTCTTTGTTGTGTGTAAGCTACACCTCAGTAACTGACCTCTGAAACCTCTTTCAGGCACGTGTGTCCTCAGCTCTCGTTAGCTGTGTACTACCCCGATAAAGTGGCTGCAGTCACAATACCATTCAAATGTCAAGACCGTAATTTAGAAACTGCATTTCTCTAGAGAGTGCTGGATAATTGGTATTACATTAAATACAACTAAGTAAAACATTTAGAAAGTATGTGTGCACAATCCATATACCATATACATATATGTTTTTATATATATATGTATACATGCACTTGTGTGTATGTGCTTGCAAGGCGTCAAAACATATTTTGCATGCATGCGTCTGAGTGTGGGCAAGCTATGTGTGCGTGTGTGTGAGTGAGGGAGGGAGAATGTGTGTGATGCTCTGTTCTGTATGCCTCAGAGCCTTTGCCAGCTGGAATCAGAAAGGTTGACCTTGGTCATAAATATCTAATCAGTGTTTGCTGTCCATGAAAAAGTTCAATTTATTCCCAACCCAATGGGAAAATGCCTCTCTCAGACCCTCTCCCCTTTTCTAGCAGACAAAAAGAAATGCAACGCTGAGAGGCGGTGAGGGGAACCTTAACCTGGTATGGATGAAGTAGGACAGAGGCTACGCCAGAAAAAAAAAATAACAATGCTCATCAGCTGCTGATGAGAAGTCATCACCGGGAAGTTACAGATGGACGGCTTTCACAAAGCCTCTCATTGTTTGTTTGGTCTGAAAAGAACTGTGATACGATACAACAAAAAACCTATCACAGACTGCAAAATATTGGATATTATGTGTTTGATACTGTCAAACAGAATAAGTGCCAAACTAAAATTGTTGGCTTAGATACCCGAGCTTCCCATACGTCCTTATTTTGACATTTTCTGAAACAGCAAGACCACTTTCCTTGTCTGATGTACCGCATTAAAATTGGTTTTTTTTACTAAGCAAAGAGTTTTCAGTTATGTGTGTGCACAGTGTGTCAAAGGAGTGAGCCAAATATAAAGTGACACTAGCCTGAGATACATACTAAGTTCATCTCCTATCTCATGAAAGTCTTAGTATGTGCAAACTCACAAATATTTTCAGACAAGACAATGTGGTAGGTGGGGAGAAAGTACGGGGAAGAAGGAGATAACTCACTGTCTCTCCTACTATTTCACTAAATGAAGCCTGCCATTGTGTCTGGCCTTGTGGCGGCCTCTTAGTGCTCTTATTTGCCTTATTAATATGCATGCTAATGTACCTATTTTATGGCTCAACAGTTCTGATTCACTTTAAAATCAATTATCCATCTGGTACATCCATGCCTCGCCCAGGCTCAAATGTGTATTAATTTCAGCAAACATACATCGGCGCAACACAATAAAGATAAATGCCTCGATTAGAGGCAGTAAACAAAGGAGCTAGGGATGGCTTTAATGAGATTTGGCACAAAAGGAGCTTACACTTTCTTAAATAATGAGCCTAGGGTCCCTTTTTCCAAATGCAAATTATATAAAGGAATGTTTCACTGTCCTTGTTCCAATTTCATTTAGATAAGAGTGTCTCCAAACAAGTTGGCTGTTAATATTCTCACATGAGCACATCACTGCCTTTCTGCCTGCCGTCTCCCAATGGAGGGGAAGAGTGCTCTCCTCTTCGCAGACACATTAGTCTGTAATAAGTTCTGAAAAGTTCACTGTGCTTGTTAAATACTTCTAACAGATGAGATGGAACTGGGAGCGACTTAGATAGAGTTGACAGAAGCACTCAGCCAAACGTATCAACACTTTTACCACAAACAACTGTATAATCACCCCCGTGGAAAGGTCAAGGCTGCAATAACCATGACAGTTAAAGCAACTGTATATAGATAAATGGATAGATAGATAACATAGATAATTAGTTTACTGCCCTCTTCTTTGGTAAGAATAGCTTTGGGCCTCAGTGATTGTTCAGTTTTTGAGAAAATGCAAAACAAGCGACAGCGAAATATGAATATCAGCTTTGAGAGCTGCGGGAGACACAAATGCACCTGCACCTGCTGTGAGAGGGAGGGGCTACGTGCAGCGCAAAATGAGTTTCTTACAATCAGCGATATGTCTCTTTTGCTTCTGAAAAAAAAAAATGAAAAAATAAATCTTTAATGTGATTGCAAATCCATTTGGTTACAGACAGACATACAGACACATAGATGGATAGCGGGTGAGTGGGGAGGCAGGGAGGGAGAGAGTGCAATAGTGTTAAATAAAAAGGGCCACAGGCATAGGCTGGATGGTAATGAAGAGGGGTGGGCCAGCAGCTGAGGTCCCTGTAGATGAGATCTCTCTCTGACATGTGTGTCCCCTTCATTACCCATTAAGGGGGGCACAGTGATGAATCCTTAATATGACATTACACCAATTTTCCTCTTCATTTAGCCTGCTAATGTGCTGGTCTGCTCCTATATGCCCAGGGGCTGGCTGTACCACACTCAACCAGAAATAGACCACAGTGGCCACTGGTGGCACACCTTGAAGCAGCCTAATTAGGGGCAGCGCCCACCTAATGGGGCTATCTAGACAAAAGTTTGCATAAGTTGATTTTTTAAGCAGATAGAAATTGGTGACTGAATGGTGTGCACGTCTGGCATTTGGTCTGGATAAAACAAAACATAGTTTTGCCGTAAAAATTGTATGCATCGGCCTTTTTCTTGATTGACCATCACGGGATTGGCAAAATGAGGTAAAAACACCAGAAACAAGTCTTTTGGTTTATCACCAAAAGATCTCATGGAAATGTGCCCAAATATTCATGGAGTCCTGTTTAGATATCTGCACAAGTATAACTCACTTAGCATGCCCATCCCCAGCATGAAGGCATCCATGGTGTAGGGCAGACCCCTGGCTCGCCCCCGTGTACCTGGTGGGAACATCACCTCCTTGGGCTGGGCCTTCTTACATTCTACCTATGTAGACAGACAACAAACACACACATACACACACCAAAGCATTAGTCTGTGTTGGTACGCAGCCCGACAGATCTGACAGGGCTGTGTCAGCTCTTTAAGGTGGTTTTCTGTTTGACTTGCACAGTGCTAGATGTTTTCCATAGAGAGAGAAGGGGAAAAAACAGACTGAGCAAATCTGAACACCTCACATTTTAGAGCAAAGTCTCTAAGGAAAACTTACAATCTTCTCCTGCATTAAAGCAAAGGTTATTGCTCCAGTGAGCATGTGCCCAAACCCTCAGGGAAATACAGGCTAAATACTTGAGTTTCCATGAGTTTCTAAAACATAAAGGTAGGAGAAGTTCTGCTCTCCAGACTCCCACAGTGTGGAAGTATGTCCAGACTCTTTCTTTTTTTTTTAACAAAAGGACTAATCTTCAAACAAGTCCTGTCATTTGACAAATCGTTATTCCTTTGCTATCATTTTTCATTGACCTTAAATGTTTTTGGGGGTTTTTGTTGCAAAAACAGCTTCAAATCCTAAAGCCAAAAAGGGTGTGTTTTGAAACTGAGTAAGGGCTTTGTTTTTCTGTTTGTGTACTGTGCATTTGTGTATTGTTGCTGGGCTGAAGTCCCCAGTGTCCCGCAGTCCAATTCCACCTGCAGCGCTCATCTCTTTCCTGCATTTATTCCTCTCACTTCACTTCTCCCACATACAGGTTTGTTCATTTCCCATCTTGCAAGACTGACATCTCCTCCTCCTACATAACACATATCAAATGAGGGATGTGACAGGGGCAGATGAGAAGAAGGAGGAAGATGAGAGTCCTATTTACCACATATCTATCCTATCTCTATGAATTATAGAGAAGCACAAGCAGCTGACAAGGGTGGCACGGTCTTGTGTCTGTTGGTTGTTCTTTGGTAGGCTGAGTCTGTTCACCATGCTGCACAATCTATTTGCTCCACTGCCTGCTTGGCATCAGCCTGTCCATCTGTTTGTCTGTTTGCCTCCTGGCTCTTGCCTGCTTCTCCCTACTGCCTCCACTTAAACAGGGCTTTCTCGGCTGCTGCGATTCACATGTCATCCTGGCCTGCTGCACAAGACAGGCTACTGCACCAGTCCTGTGCACACCTCAACCAAGGTATAGCCTAGCATCCATACAAATAGGCCTGCGACTCTGACAGGCCAGTGATGCACATTAGTATTCACACACCAGTCATACATGCACAGCGGTAGACACAACATGCTATTTCAAGTTGCCAAACTCAAGGAAAACTTCTGTGCTGAATGCATAGTGTAACAAGCTCTGTACACTGTATCTAGCAGAGAGCGAGACATGTAAAAAAGGGAACACTAATGAAAAAGGTTTCTATCACGGGGGGAAGTTGCTGTGTTGCAGAGCTGTGATTTGTTGCTGTTAGTGGCTCTTTTATTTGAAGCAGACCAACTAAAGTACACAGTTCCCTCAGCCACTTTGTAGCTGTCACAGCTACTCTACCCTTCTTATGTGCCTTGTATGGTTTGACATAGTGCTGAAGAGAGCACAGGCGCTTTTTCCCGTCTGAAAATGACCCGCGGCATGGAAGCAGGAAGCGGGTGGGACAAATGGGCGTGTTAAAAATCCCAGCACACTGCTGGGATTTTCAATGTTCACATAGCCGGGTGACAAATACATTCAAGTTCTATCCACACTTTCAAACGCGGCAGCAGCTGATCAGCCTCTTCAAGAAACCCCTGCAACAACTAGCGAGATGGACGCTCAGGTAGTCTGCTGGGAGTAAGACAGAGCCAGGTGTGAGTCATGCCTACATGCTCTCAGATGCGGGTCTTTTGATATTCAGAGTGCGGGCTCCTTGTCATGGATTTAAAACCAGTCAGGGGCCGGGTTCTGTGGTGGTGTGAGTATGTGGGTGTTCACCTGCTTCAGACACACAGGAGGTTGAGAGCAAAGGAGGCAAGAGCTTTTCATAGTCGACTAAATCAAACAGTAAGGAAGAGAAAGGACAGAGAGACAATTCGGAGCCCGGCAACGAAGAACTGCAAAGGTTCAGCAGCCAAGAGAGTAGAGATTCAAATTTCACCATGTGGAAAGACCTTGTGGCACATTCAGAGTATGAAGGGAACACAGGTCCTTATTTTAACGGGGATCATTTTTCAGAATTATAGCTTGTGTAATTTGTCAAGGACTCTTGCATTTATTGAAGGCTGCACAATATTGTGTTGTGAAAAGTCTCCTGATCCACAATTTAAACACTATCAATGAAGGTGTTTGAGCACCATTGCACCCTGTCGAGAAAAGGGACACACCATTAAACTGCCTTGCCTTCCCTGCCAGAAAAGTTATACCATATTTCTCAGAAACGGCACTCACGAGATCTGAAACCCACACACACACACACACACACACACACAGTATAAACGCTAAGTAACTAGTAAAGTGGATTCCTGTCACAAAGTGTTGACAAGGTGTGGTTACTTCAACGTGTGTGCTTTCAACATATACTAAAATGTTTCTGCCTTTCATGCACTGAGATACTGCAGACGATAGCTTAGCCTTGAGACTTACATCACTGCATACCGAAGATAAAGTCAGAAGGTAACAAGTACGTCTGTGAAGGCAACACTATAGAGTTGGATGTCTCGAGACCAAGACCAGTCCTGAGACCACTTTTATGTGGTCTTGGTCTTGTCTTGACTTTGGTCTTGGATCCCTCGGTCTTGTCTTGGTCTCGCTGTCTCGGTCTTGCTGTCTCAAATCGACATAGATTTGGAGATTTGGAGTCAACAGTATCCATGACGTACAACGTAACGTTCGATAATGTGTCATGCGCAAAAGCATCAGCTCTAAGAGCCATGCTTAGAGAGTGCTTTGTAGTGAATCAGAAGAGTCGACTCCCATTGAGCGAAAGCTGGCTCCTCACTTGATTTTGTTTCGCTGCACAGCTCTCACACAGTGGCTCAGCTATGCTCCAATCCCTCCATATTGTGGCCAATCACATGCGAGGATATAGGATAATATCATTATGTGAAAAACAGAGGGTGAGAGACACGACTCGCTTACTGACTGTCCTCTCAGTAAGTGAGTGAGACAGTAGACAGCGGTGAGGAGGTCTGTGCAAGTGCATTGCAAAAACACATAAATATGCCTGACACCCGTAAACGAAGCAGCATCTGGCTGCAGTTTAAAGACTTTTTTTGTCTCGGTCTCGTCTCGACTTTGTCTTGGTCTCAATACCCTCTGGTCTTGGTATTGACTTTGTCTTAGTTTAGGCGGTCTTGACTACAAGTCTACAACACTGATACTAAAACATTTTGTAACAACATATGGCTTGTGTTTGAAGTTTCAATAACATAAAGAATGAGTTAAACCCTTTTTTTTTTTTGATAAACTGTGCAATAATTAGGCAACTTGTTCTAATGTGATCTAGCCAGTGTTATGCTTCCAGTGGTCTTTTCTGGCTGACCTTGCTTGGGTCACTCGCTACTATTTCCAAGTAGGTCCATGTTTGCCCAGATTTTGCCAAGATTGAAATCATGTTAACGCTGTGAGCGACACTGCTGTAAAATCAGAATGTTCTGAGATTTATGCAACTTAGCAATGAGTGGAGAAAAAGCTGCTAACTTTGAAGGAAGTATAACTGTCACAAGTCATGGAGTGGAAAATTCCAGTAGCAACTTAGCTAACATTCTACAATGTAAAATGTCATGAGTTATCCTAACAAGAGTAGCATGTCACATGTGTGGCAGAAGTGGCTAGCTAACCACTTTTCTGTTGCTATGAAAGATGTGTAAATCAAAACCTGAAGTTTTTTAAGCCTCCACGTTTTTTCTACTCCACTTGTCCAGTTTCCTCCAAAATGTATATATTTTTAGGGATATAATTGCTCATCATGCAATGATATAGCAAGTCTTTGGTTAATACCTCTTTAGGAATCATCTTGTTGATGCACCAATGTTATTTTATGTCTGTCAAATTGTGCTATTTTTGGCATTTCACTTCATACAGAAATGGGAAAAAAATTATGTGTTTTTGAGACAGACTGCTAGTAACTATATCTCTAAAGATACAATTTAAAACATTATTTGCTAAGTTGTCTGTTATGTGTTGATACAGCACTGGTGTATACCTTGCATTAGGTGTTTGTTATACTTGAATGATTCATAGGTAGTAAGTGGCTTACAAAACAAACAAAATTCTCTGAAAATGATCAAGTACAAGGACTAGACTGAAAACTTTTGAAAAATCTGAAGAAAAGCTTCAGAAAGGCCTTCAGAAAGCCTGGAAAACTACTATACAAGACCACTTTAAAAATGTGGCTCCTAGGAATAAACTATAAAGAAAGGCTTGGCTCATGATTTTGCACAATACTGCATGTCCTTAACTAGACCACCCTGACTGTAGAGTGTGTTCCTTTTCAGCAGGAGGAGGGACACCTACCTGACTACGTGTATTTTCTTATCCAGTTCTAGTTCTTCTCACACTAATAATTAGTTTAATATTTTAAGGAATGAGAATATCCGTATAACCACATTTACACTTTCCAAGAAGGTTAATTAGGATAACTATGCTTGTTAGGTTCCAGTATACATCAACTGTAGACCTTTAATTTTGCCCAAGCAAGCTGTAAGCTACTTCATTGGAAGCATAAAAGAATCCAAACCCAGAAACCCCAAAAAGCTGTATAATATAAGGAGACAGATCCCATCCCAGCAGACCATCAGTTTGGAAAGTCTAGCATGGTAAAATAACAACAGATATATGTACTAAATTATATTTTGTTTGGGTCCTTTCCCTGGAAAGAATGCTTGTTAAAAAGTCTATAGGGCTACTTGGGATAATTATTTACTTTATTTCTCTATTTTTCAGGGAGAGTGCAGCTTAACAATGATAAGGAAAAAATTGAAAGGATGTAGTGTACATTAGCCAGACCAATTCTGTCCCTGTAAATTCTTTTCCATTTCTTTTTCTAAACTATCCTTGTTCTGCTGTAAAATTAAGATTTGTTTTCTTTTG